AGAGCTGACTAGAATACCAATAAAGGCCATAATTGGTGCATTATAGATAACTGTGCAAAATCCACCACCACCCCACGCTCAAACCAAAAATGTCATATGGCAGTTCTTTACTGTTTCACACATATAGATAGAATCTTCTTGTACTAAGGACTCTATGATCTGCATCTACAATATACTCTGCAAGCTATTAGGGAGGAGATGTCCTCACCCTCTTTCTCTCACACAAAATATCTGGATTGAGTTGCCTCTTACTCCTCTGGAATGCAGTCCCTCCCTCATGGAATTTCACCTCCTTACTACAGTCAGTCAAAAATTCCCAGGAAAGTACGTGCAGCTGAAAACCCTTGTCTGTGGAATCGGGAGCAGGTTTTAACAAGGCTCCCATTGGACGGTTAACACTTGGGAAAAATTTACTTTGAGGTAGACAACTCCAAAGCTCTTTAGGTTGTATAGAGGGGTCTCCAAACTTGACAACTTTAAAATTTTAGGAACGGGTTCTCTGCCTAGTTGCTGGGTGGGTGTGGCCACGGTGGGTGTGGCTTAGTTGGCCTTCTGCATCATGGTGTGGGGGGGTGCATTTTTGCCCTCCCTGGGCTCCGGAGGCTTTCCTCGAGTCTCTGGGATTGCGAAAAAGGCCTCCCCGGGCTCTGGAGGCTCTCTGGAAGCTGAAAACGGGCCCATTTCCGGCCTTCCAGAACATCTAGGAGGCACGTTTTTCGCCCTCCATGAGCCTCCGCGTGCCCCCTGCATTTATTTGCCTCCAAAACGGGCCGTGTGGGGACTCCAGGGACGGGCAGGGAGGGGTCAGCCAGGAGTGGGATTTTTTTGGGGGGGGGTTCTCCAAACTGCACAGAATCTTAGCGAGGGGCTCTCTTGAACCCCTGTGAACCCCCAGCAGCCCAGCTTTGCATTATTCCCTGCCCCTTATTTACAATTTATCTATAATAACTATTCGTTTCTGGGGGTTGTCTCTAAGTCAATCCCCATGTCGGCAAATTCTAGCTAAAACCAGTTTTGAACATACCAGGGGCCTGTGATGACCCAGGGTGGAATACAAAAGCAACAAAGTCACAAAAACAGGTGAAGTCCCTTTAATTCCTTCAACTTGGCTTCAAAGGTCCAATTATCATGGACTGGAGAAAAATCTCCCCCACAAACAGTTGTGAAAAGGAAGAAATGCCCTTGAAACTCCAAATACATATAAATTATAAATAGGAAAAAAACAACACAAACACACTGAAGCAATTAATGAACAAAGCAGGATAAGGGCTTGAAGACATCCACAGATATTGAAATATACACACTGGGAAGGATGCCAAAACTCAGATAAGAACTGACAGACTAGAAATATTTTCATTCTTTGCTTCCAACACTGGCCCATGTGCAGTTTGTCCTTTTAAACAGTCCTCACAGCTGCAGCCCATGAAGAGGATCAAGGCCCTTTCCTCCCCCGTAGACCACGCCATTCACGTTTCTCCCTTATCCACTCCTCCCTGCGTGCCCTAGGATGGAGAGGGGATGGGCCTGGGTCCTCCTCTGACTGCCCAGCCAGGCTCTGCCCTTCCCCAGTTTCCTCCACAACCTCCAGAGCCACACTCCCACTCCCTGTCAGCTGTTCCTCCTCTCCCTTGCAGTCAGATTCTAACAGGGGCATGACAGGGCCCTTCTGAACAACTGCAGTGATTCACTTAACAACTGTGGCAAGAAAAGTCACAAAATGGGGTAAAATGCACTTAAGAATGTCTCACTTAACAACACAAATGTTGGGCTCACTTGTGGCCATACAGACGGTATAAGAAGTGTACTAATAGTCTGCATTGTGAAGCTCCAAAGATAGTGATATGTCTGAGAGAACAAGCAGCCAGAATGTCCCAAACACAGGTATTTTTTTCCACTAGGGAATTATTTTAATGGACTACTCATGTCCCCAAATCCAGAGCTGATAAACTATCAGGAAGGGAGATAAATCCATCTTCATTTTAAGATATTTTGCCTCAGGATGATTGTGGCTTGGTGTGTCAGGATTCCATCAGTTCCCCCCATTTAAATCATGAGTCTCGAGCCAAACTTCCAAAACTTTAACAGGATTTATTGGGAGTTAACATGTCCGGCACTGCCTGGGTGTAGCTGACTCTGAGACACATCATGGTTTTTCTCTGAAGACGTTTCGCTTCTCATCCAAGAAGCTTCTTCAGCTCTGACTGGATAAAGAGCTGAAGAAGCTTTGTCAGGGCTCTGGTAGTTACCCTCATTTAAATCATGAGTTTCTAGCTGGATTTTCAAAGCTTAAAGAAGATTTATTAGTAGTAGACATGCCGGCGCTGCCTGGGTGTATCCAACTCTGAGACACATCATTCATTGTCTCCCTTGACCCTGGTTTTCTCCCACCCCTCTGGGTGTATCATAATTCATATTCTCCAATGGGACACATCCATAGCCAAGAGTCACCAATCATGCTCTCCAGTTAGAATTTTGCGCAGCAGAAACTTCGGTCACCTAGTTCCTATCTTGGAAAACATTTATGGAATGCAGTTTCAGTTTGCAAGCGGCTGCACTGCTCCCCCTCCCTTTCTGTTGGCAAGTCTAAAAAAGACCATTGAAATAATTTATGAGTTGACATGGTGCATCTCCATTCTTCAGAAGAAGCTATCTTCCACCATAGCCATCAACCCTCAACCAGCTCCTATTTCTTCTTGTGACAGAAGCACCGAATGACAGAAACACCGAAGCGCTGCTGGGTTGAAAGGATGAGCCATTGCTTGGGGGATGACGATGCCCACTTGGGGGTTTCTTTGTCCATGGCGGGAGCTGGAGTGAAGGATGAGAATTCAACCCAGGGGTGGGATGCTGCAGGTTTGGACTGGTTCAGGCGAACCGGTAGTTGCGGTGATAATCTGGCCTCCATCCACCCATCCCTGCCCTTTTCCTGTGTTTTATTTCTTTGTTTTTGAGCACAGCTGATTCATGTGGCAGCTGTTTTACTCACCGGGGCTGCAGCAGAAGGTCAGTATTAGAGCTAAAAATGGTCTTTCTAAATGCTGTGCTTGCACGCTCAACGAACTGGTTGCTACATCACTGTGGTGGTATTCAATTTTTTTTTTTTACTACCGGTTCTGTGGGTGTGGCTTAGTGGGCGTGGCTTGGTGGGCGTAGCAGGGGAAGGATACTGCAAAATCCCCATTCCCTCCCCACCTCACTAACCTGCTTTCCAGCTCCGTTCTCCTCTGCAGGGCAACAAAAGAAGACCCAGCCAATCAGCTGGGACTCAATGGGAGGCAGAGAAGAGATGGGGGCAGAGCCAGTCAGAGGTGGGATTTGCTGGTTTGCTGAACTACTCAAAATGTCCGCTACTGGTTCTCCAGAACTGGTCAGATCCTGTTGAATGCCACCTCTGTTTAAAGCAGTGTTTCTTTGAGGACCCCTGTTTTAAAGCAATAGTTTGAAGCTTCTCAACTTTAAAGCCAGTGGTGGGATTCAAAAATGTTTATTACCAATTCTGTGGGTGTGGCTTGGTGGGCGTGGCAGGGGAAGGATACTGCAAAATCCCCATTCCCTCCGCACGCCACTAAACCTGCTTTCCAGCTCCGTTCTCTTGTGCAGGGCAACAAAAAATGACCCAGCCGATCATCTGGGATTCAGGAGGTAGAGAATAGATGGGGGCAGGGCCAGTCAGAGGTGGTATTTGCCAATTCTCCAAACTACTCAAAATTTCTGCTACCAGTTCTCCAGAATTAGTCAGAACCTGCTGGATACCACCTCTGTTACATCAGTTGAATTGCACCACTGGGTCAACCCCACCCAACGGCAGATCTCAAATCTCGAATGCAGGCTTGCTAACCTCCTGCCCAGCATCCCAACCACTTGAGCCACTGTACTCCTTTTCCTGTTTCTTCTGAATGCTCATAAACCAATTAGCCTCTTTGATAAGTCTTTTTCTGGTGTCACCACAAATTTAATATCGGCAAACCTGATGTGAAAATTCCATCCAGTGTTTTTCTTCTCAAGCCCTTAACTCTTAAACCCTGACCTACATTGGTTCGCTTTTGCTTTTGAGACATCCTTAGTACAGAATAACAGAGATGGAAGGGACCTTGTAGGTCATCTAGTCCAACCCCCTGCTCCAGCCCCCCACCACCCCCTGATACCATTTCTGACAAGTGGCTGTCCAGTCCTGAACCTTCTTTTCCTTCGTGTTTTCTTATCATCTCATTTTAATGGCCCCATAATAGGAGCTAGCTAGCAGAGTGTTTAATAGCCAGATGCCCTTCCTGTCACCACTGTGGAGTTTTGTTCAGCAGATATATTCTCACCGTGTCCAGAGAGAGAGAAATAGCTGCCTCTACCTAGGTTCGAACTCACAGCCTTCTGATTATGAGGCAAGAGCTCCACCTTTAGGCCACCACACCACTCCTTTAAACATGTCCTAATCCTTAACTTTATATGGGACTCCTTTGCAAAAAAAACACAGCCAGACACATTATTTTGCTTGAAATGTTATTTGGTTTTTCTAGTTAAACCATCTTACAGATGATATTTATCTTGAATCTGTAGCATTATTTCTACTTCACATTTATTAAACTTTATTCTATTCATCTACAAATCTATTCGTGCCTTTAATATGTAGTTTTCGTGCCCTGATAAATTTTCAGTTCGCTTTAATGAACAAACCACGATTTATTGCTTGAATACACAAATTACTATATTTCATAGCATGATCTCTTTTTTTTTCTTTCTTTCTTTCTTTCTTTTTTTTTTTTTTTTGAAGCCTGACAAGTTCCTTACGAGTCCATGATTCAACATCCGGCACGCGTGAATTCAGTTTACTTGAAACCATGAGACCGTGAGATCTAGTTCCACCTAAATCCCAATACCGCCAATAAAAGCGCACAGACCACGGTTAGACAGAGAGAGAGAGAGAGATGCATTAAATTTCTGTTCTTGAACACGTTACAGCAAAATATTTATCTAGGAACTGTACGGAGAGAGAGAGAGAGAACCAATCACTGCTTGAACTTAATGGGTGGTAAGATGCTTGTATTTTTCCGCAATACCTTCCCAGGCCTGAGTTCTCTTTTAGTCACTTTATCCACTGGAGGTTCTGCTTCCTTTGTGGGAGTTTCCTGTTTAACTGAGCTCTGGTTTTCCTCTTTATTTATTTCTTCGGACAACGCAACGGGAGAAAGTTTTTGATGCGAAAGAGGTAATTTTTCAGGTGGGTCAGTTTTTACTTCTGTGCTGGACTGCTGCCGAGCGATTTCATCTGCGGAACAGGAAAAACATAAAATATTATTGTTGTGTTTGGACACTAAAACCAGAGAGCAGCAAATGGACATGTTTATCAGCCGCTATCCGAGTAGAGTAGAGTAGAATAGAATAAGGAGGAATGGAATGGAATGGAATGGAATAGAATAAGGAAGAATATAATAAAATAAGGAAAAATAGAATAGAATAGAATAGAATAGAATAGAATAGAATAGAATAGAATAGAATAGAATAGAATAGAATAGAATAGAATTAGAATTAGAATTAGAATTAGAATTAGAATTAGAATTAGAAT